ATTTGGGGTAGATATTACCCGGGAATATATATCGTATCTGAGGAGCGGGCAGGATATATTGTATATGTCCCGCTCTAGGCCAAATGCGGGCAGATATAATATATCCATCCCGCTCCCGGGAATTTTTCAAAAGTTTAAAAAAGTTTAAATATCAAAAGTTTTAATTTTTTAATTTTGAAATTTAATTTTTTAAAGTTTAAATGTTACAATTTCATTGTATTGAACAAAAAGAATATATATTACGAAAATGTTAAATATAAATATCTTGTCATTTGAAAAAGGTGGAAAAGGTTATATCTACCCTAAACCCACTCAAGTATGAGATACACCAGTTATGCACGGTCGGTTTGGATACATGGAATATCCCTTGGGATATACAATACATCTCCCCTCGGTCCCTTCGGTCCCTCAGGAAGATATATTGTATATCCCTCGGGATATTCCCTGTATCCAAAACCTCCCAGTGCATAACCCCTATATATATGATCACCTAATGTAAGGAATAACTCCACCGTTATTAAAATCATATGCTCAATATCTATTAGGTTTGCCTCAGGATTTTTAACAATTTGATTCGATGTTATTCCCTAATTCGCCTCACACAATGCAATACAATTTCAATTTTAATTTTCAAATTGCAATAGGTAAAAAACGCTACATATGCTGCTATCGTTCTATGAGTGATCTATGAACTGTAGTGTAACATAGTTTTCTAGCGAATTAAATTACAACATCTGTTGATCTTGTTAAATCATATATCTGTCTTTTTTATTTATTCATATCTTGATTACAAATTACAATAAACGGGAGACACATAATGTATATTCCCGTGTTTAGTACTAATACGATTATTTTCAGAAGCACAGACAAATTATTAAGCAACAAAACATGGTCAATGTGAACAATATTACAAGACAATTCAAAGTCGTTAATTTTATCACGTCTAAAACGTTATCTTTACAATTCCAAAACGTTAACATGCTTATTATAAGACATGTCCATGACGTTATATTGTCCCTTCTCCATAGTTAACTCCACTTTCTACATTTACGGTCATTTATGGCAATTTTAAGATAAATACAGTTAAAATATTTACACGATCTTTAGAGTAGTGAATATTATTCCACGTTGTTTAATGGATTGTCTGTTTAAACTTGATTAAATAACACTAAATGCAAATTAAGTACATATTTCTGGCACTTTTGGTATATAATTGCGATTGATATGAAGTATGATGGATTTATCCCCAAAATAGATTCGTTGGTATGAAGAAGAACATCTTAGGTAGAAGTCAAGATATGTAAGTTTGTAAAATATAGAATATTCTTACCATTTTGCTCCATTCTATCGAATGTCGCATCCCATGTTCTTACAAAACACGACTAAAGAGTTTAAAAAAACACGACCGGGCCGATTTGCACTGTTAACTCTTGGTCACCGTGTGTATGTCAAAAGCTGACTGATTCTGATATATTCAGCCTTTACAGGCAGGCAATAATACACTTGATAATTGTAACGCCTGAAACTGAATTACTGGATTCAACTGCTTACTTTTGATCTCCAAATGTTCCTAACATCTATAGCCGTTGCTTGTGAAACAACTATGGAAAGTTTCAGGTGCCTCTCTGCCGACTTCTTCAAGACTTCTTTTTATCAGTGGAGGTGGAAACTTTCTACGAAAAATTAAAATAGTGGTTTTTATGGTAAATAACGAATCGTCCGGAGATTTCCAAATGAACATGAATAAATATTTCACCCAGTATCCATGGATACAATACCTGGTGATAAGAGTAATATGTGATGTCATACCGGCAGGCCGTAGTAATGGAGGGTCATAATGATTATTCTAAAAAAAATTTGTGAGTTTTTATGTTGGAATCTTGATAAGACCTCAGATCAGGTATCAAGAAATTAATACCTTTAATAGGGCTTAGGGCACAAAAGCTTTCAAACAGAAAAGATATGAGCCTACCCCTGCCGTATTTATTCGTTGATATAATACCTGCCCTTCAGTATATATTTCTTAATAGTGTTGTCGCGATTAATCGATACATCGCGATATACATCGCCAAAGCTGATTCTGGCGATGCATCGATGTCTGAAACAAAACATCGATGTTTTTGAAAACAAAAAAAATTGCTAAAAATCACCCTTTCTTATCTTATTTTGACGCAAATCGCTTACCTTTCTCATGTCTTATTTCATTTTCCAATGTTTTCTGATATTCTTTCACTTTAAAACTGATTTAGCTAGTCGAAATGAACCATTAATCTAAGAAAATTACTTTACTTTCATTTCACCCTTACTAGAAGTTCCCAGATGTACCTGATGTTCGGTATTTTAGTGCATTAGCGTTCGGTATTTCAGTGCACTTTTCTCGGACTTTTTCTCGATGTACATCGCGATGAGCATCGATGTTTACTACTGAAAATTGCCGATCAGTGGCGTAGCCAGGATTTGGTGACCGGGGGTTCTATTTTTATGTTATTCACAAATCCCCCCCCCCCCCTTCATTAGGGTTCCTCAAATAATGCAATTTGTACGATTACACTCCCTCCAAAAGTTTGGCAATCCTAACTAACCCATTGGATTATGTATTAAAGCATCTTTAAGTTTGAATTCTTATAAAGAAAAAAGTTATTTTGGGAAGGGAAATGTAATTCATTTTAAAACCTTCATTAAGTTAAGTAGACAATTGAATTTGAATTTTATTTAACAAAAATGATGTCTTTATTTACGTTAAGCAAAGTTTGAAAGTAATAGGCCTTATCAAGAAACCTCTCCCATTGAAATAACACAGGACGTAAAAATGATTTTCAAAAATGACCTTGTAGCTTTGAAAATTTAATGTTCACAAAGTAAAATAAATAGGCAACGTGCAAAAAAGTCACACAACTTATAATTAATTTTCTGCATCAAAATATATTTTGGTGAATCTTTTACTGACTATGTATCCTGAAATCTGATTTGCCCCGAATCCACCATTATTTCGACTGATTTCTGGAAGACCCTGGAACATGATTTGTTTCCAAGGAATATCAACTACTTCGCATAATTTATTCTTTAACTTAAGCTACTTCATCTAGGACAAAATAAATCACTTCATGCAATGGCTTATATTATCATTATTTTTCAGGAATTTTGTTGGATGCCAGTTCGGATCAAATGCAAGGTTATTGAAATTGGCGCAAACACCCTATACTCCGAAAGATCTTTCTTCTATGATAGCTTTTCACAACGTTTACTCGAAGGCTTTTTAAACTATCCGGGATAGTCGTATTACTGATGAAAATATGTATTATTCAAATAAATGGGTCTCGGTTATGCTTTGTTTTAAAAAGTATTTCTTTGGACGTCCCCGGAGGTCAGTGGTAAGTAAACTGGAACGATAACAATTTGAATTCTATACAATTTCTTAGATGAGTGGAGTGTATCGGAAAAAAACAAAATCATTTTTTGCAATGATTTATTTTCTTTGCAAAAGTGATGGGTAAATAAATACTGAACAAATTAAAGAATGAATAAATTTGAACAAATGCTTGTGTTTATAAATGATATACGCTTTTAAATAATTCATTTCACAACGTTTTTAATTATTAAACGCAATTGGTTCCGGGGACTTGCCAGCCCCAGGGACGTCCCAAGAAATATTTAAAATTTTAATTGAAATAAAACAAAACAGAGATGTACACATTTGAAAGAACATGTGTTTCATCAACATTACGAGTATTCAAGATATTTATTCGTCAATGTTGTAAAAATCATTCGGAGTATGGGACGTCTGCAATGTTTTCAATAACTTTCAATAACTTCGTATTGGACCAGAACTGGCTTAAGGCAAAATTCCTACAAAGGATTTAGCCATTGCCTAAGATGGGTTATTTTGTCCAAGAAGAAGCAGCATTTAAGTTAATTGTGCGAAATTACATTGTTATTTCTAAATGTAAAATCTCATGCTCTGGGGTCTTCCCAAAATTAAATCTCACTCCGTGCCTAAGGTTGCCAAACGTTTTGAGGGAAGTGTAACTTCACTATGACATATTTTTAACAAAATAAGGCTCTCGTGTTCACCATAACAAATATCAATTCATTTACTGCTCATATATGTAGTTTTCAAATAGCAAAGTAATTTAATGTTTCTGGTTATATGCATTTTTCCGCAGAATGATATTTTGGGAAATCCTGACCGGGGGTTCGTTCGAACCCACCGAACCCCCGCTGCCTACGGCTATGCCGATGCATCGATGTACGATTATGGCACATCGCGACAACACTATTTCTTAAATATGTGAAATGCAACCAATCAAGTTCTTTGAATTTCCCAATCATGTGGCACAAGTATCTGACAACAACCAATTCAATTTAAGGTGAAATCGCTGGAAACTGAGAATAAAGATTTGCCCATCGCAGTAGTATGATGTTAAAGACTAGCAGTGCCATGGAGTTTCGAGATTTTCAGATTTAATTTTTTTGATCATTCTTCATTATAATGTCAATTATAGATGCATAAGCTAAATGCGCCTGCAAGCCTTAATTGATACATCTAAGAATTTTTAAGCCTACATGGGCCCATTTTATAAAAGTTAATTTTCCAAATCTTGAGCTCCTGAAATATACCAAATTTGGAGTATTTTCTCTTTCCCAGAGCTCCAGTCTAATAGATACAGTTTGAATAAATTGAGGGTGAAAATGAGTCTCATGGATTGAAGGAGCGGGGGTCATTGATCAAGGTTTACATCTTACACCCGCTAGTTCTGATAAATATTTGTGGACTTAAGTAAGAACTTGAGTATATTCATAGAAGTCCCGTGTGAAATATGCCTAGGATGAAAAGGCTGAAAAGCAAGAAACTCTGGTACTTGCAATTGCAGTTGAAGTGCAAGCCATGCCGACTATTCCTCTCTGACTTCAATTTGCATTCAAATGAATGAATCTAATAGAACACGGCCAATCATAAATTTGTAAAGTATTTATTAAATCTCATGAATTTATATTTTCAGATATGGCGGCCATTTACTGCTCTAGTTTACTACCCAATCACCCCCCAAACAGGGTTCCATTATCTCATCAACCTCTACTTCATGTACTCATATTCCACAAGACTTGAAACGGGTAAGTCCTCAAAAAAATGTGTTAGCACTGGTTCTCACTATGAAATTTTTAGACTCTGGATTTTTGGTGGTATCGCGGCTACTCCTCCCCATGTGAGATCAGAGATATCTCATTAGTGTACTTTTCAAAATACTACCAAAGATTATCTTTCTATTTTAATCACAATTCTAAAAGGTTTCTGTTGTCCTATTCCTTGTTTGTATCCAGTTTTATGTATTTTCTCAAGAGTTTTACCACAAATAATGTGAGAACCCTGGTCTGATATATCATGTGGAAAGTTGGGGATTTGAAAGTGTGAGAGCTAGAAATGTAGCATGATGAAATATGTGTGTTTTACTCAAAAAATGAAAAATAACTTATGCCTATTCATGGCATGCAAAATAGTTTAAAATATTAATTTTTAATTGTTTTGATTGAGTGATATATCATTTTATTTTAAAATTGAATTATCTTTCCAATTGTATATCACATATGAACTATACTGGATGTAACAAATGCTGCTTGATTATAAAGATGAACTCATTTTTTGAGACACCCTGTATAAATAAATGAAATGTAATTGTTTGTGTATTTCAGGAGTGTTTGATGGGAGGCCTGCTGACTATGTTTTCATGTTAGTGTTTAACTGGATCTGCCTTGTGGTATCCTTTACAAATTAACTACTTAGTGTCTGTAGATTGTACATTTTCCATTGATTTTCTTATCTTTTCCATATGAGTGAATCTTGTATTTAATAGATCAATAATTGAATGTGATAGAGTAAGACAAGTAAGATAGTTTCCTTAATTAGTTTTTCAGCTTGTTGGTTTTTTAGCAGAATTAATGGTAAGCATAAAATAAAAATCAATATTTTTTAGAAAACACAATTATCTGAATATATCCCCACCAAGAAATGATGGCAGTATCTGAAACAACTATTTAGTTACCATTTGCATTAACTTAGCAGTCAGTGACATTTTACCACATCCATGGCCATCCTCCGATCACAGGGCTTCAAAATCCTGAATATATTCTTTCTTTTTACCCCCTGCGATAAGCAGTTAGCATTTCCCCGATTAAGAACTCACAATCTGATTGGCTGTCACAACACTGCAACAGAGATCATGTATAAGTCATTGCACATAATTAGATCACGTGATTCAGTTTAATCGGGCGCTTCCAAATTGGTTATAGCAGGGGGAAGAAGGAGGTTCGGATTCTGGATACCTGCTTAGGAGGATGATCCATGGCTTGTTTTCCAAATGTACAATAAATAATATTATCCTATTGATATGACTCTCTTAGCAATGTTTAAACTTTTTTCTTAGATCGAGTGTCAATGATTTCCCAAGCATGACATGTGACTAAAGCATCCTAAAATCGAGTTCACATTTCTTTGATGCAAGGATGCCAAGTATTTTAATTTTTTAAATACAAAATTTGCTGAATCTATTCCCCTCATCTGATTATGTACATGTTTACAACAGTAAATATTTCTAGTTATGCATATTATTAAATTGTATTATTAATATTAAATTTATGATGTTTTTTCTAGTTGTTGATGGATCCAATGATCCTGAGTGTTCTCTATGTTTGGTGCCAGTTAAATAAAGACCAGATTGTGCAGTTCTGGTTTGGAACTCAATTTAAAGTAAGTACTCTACATACTCTAAGGTACTTCTTATAGAATAAAGACCAGATTGTACAGTTCTGGTTTGGAACTCAATTTAAAGTAAGTACTGTACATACTCTAAGGTACTTCTTATAGAATAAAATCCAGATTGTAAGTTGTCAATAAAAGAAGGGAACTAATTACTTTGTGATTTTTGCTTGTTTGTAGTAAACTTTTTGTTTTCAATCTGACAAATTATCAGGTTGGTGTGCCGACTGCTTCTGTATTTCAGTCTTTACTCTGTTAGTGTACCATTCCCATTGTATATTTCAGTCTTTACTCTGTTAGTGTACCATTCCCATTGTATATTTCAGTCTTTACTCTGTTAGTGTACCATTCCCATTGTATATTTCAGTCTTTACTCTGTTAAGTGTACCATTCCCATTGTATTTTTCAGTCTTTACTCTGTTTGTGTACCATTCCCATTGTATATTTCAGTCTTTACTCTGTTAGTGTACCATTCCCATTGTATATTTCAGTCTTTACTCTGTTAAGTGTACCATTCCCAGTGTATTTTTCAGTCTTTACTCTGTTAGTGTACCATTCCCATTGTATATTTCAGTCTTTACTCTGTTAAGTGTACCATTCCCATTGTATATTTCAGTCTTTACTCTGTTAAGTGTACCATCCCCATTGTATTTTTCAGTCTTTACTCTGATAGTGTGCCATTCCCATTGTATATTTCAGTCTTTGCTCTGTTAGTATACCATTCCCATTGTATATTTCAGTCTTTACTCTGTTAAGTGTACCATTTCCATTGTATTTTTCAGTCTTTACTCTGTTAGTGTACCATTCCCATTGTATATTTCAGTCTTTGCTCTGTTAGTGTACCATTCCCATTGTATTTTTCAGGCTATGTACTTGCCATGGGTCCTTGTTGGCTTCAATATGATCATAAGGGGAGGGTAAGTTTTGGTGAAATCTTATTCAGTGATTTAACAAATTTGAAACTAGAGTTACATAGTACATTGTATTTCTATTTTGTTTATGCTCTATAGAATAGTTCTAGCAACATGTCTCAAGATTCTACCATGTACTAAAATTTGGCAGTCTTAATTTGTTGGGTTGATCCCACTCCATGTATAAACCTATAACAGTGATGTAAATACAAAAATTGTATACACACAAAGATACAATTCTTAAGTTTTCATTATTTCAAAATTCATCATTTAAATTTCATTTTCCCTAATGTTCAGTTTTCTGAGATTTCAGAAATATATTTACATTCCATGCTAACTTATAGATATATCAAATGGTCACTCACAGGATATACAGAATGAACCATTATGTAACCCCTTATTCTCTGTGACTCTTGGTTCCTTATAATTGGCTAAAAGTGCTGAATTAAAATAAACTAAATGTATGTATTTAATTTAAATCTCTGTTTTAGGGGAATGAGTGAGCTGTTTGGTATACTAGTGGGACATCTATATTTCTTCCTCATGTTTAAATATCCACAAGAGTTTGGTGGCAGACAGTTCCTGAGTACTCCACAGTTTCTGTAAGTATTCTCAATATTTCACAACACAGTTTAAAATGACATTACTCTCGTTTTATCCAAATCTTAGAGGAGAAACTAAATACCTATAATTAAATAAAATACTTGTATATTGAAGGGTTGAGCTCGAATGATGTCTGAACTTACTTTTCTTGAAAAAGCATCTAGACCTATATACTCCTCAAAAAAAGTTAAGGACCAGTGATTTTCGTCATAGGTTTACATGTTAACCCCCATATTTGTTTGAACGACTATTTTCTAAGCGTGGAACAAAAGAAATCCTAATAAAGTAAATAAATCTGTATCTTGATTCTATTCTCTATAAAGTCCGCAACATTTCAATGTTATATCCATTACATTGGTCAAAATTTGATGTCAAAATTGATGAATTTCATGAAATCTAACAAAAATGGCAGATCCCATGTTAAACAAATGGGGAATGGTGGCTTAGGGGCAACTCAAATTTTGGGATATCTATTCAGTGGAACATTTGTTGAAAAAACTTTCTGAGTAGAAAATCGAATGGTTTTACATGTTACATGCTAAATGTCTAGCTTATAATGGTAAAATTAGTGATATAGAGTAATCTTGACCACCTCACTGACCACCTGTGTTATTTCAATGAGAGGATCCTTAAAGAATTACTAAATTTGAAACCATTAACTTTTGTAAAGCCCGGAAGATTAAATCATATTTTTGTCCGTTGGACAATATAGCAAATTTAATTGTCTCTTGAAATTCTAATTTTGAAAGCAATCGGATGGATGGATCGTTCCTCATGACTTATGGCAACCCAACCATTCCCCATTCGTTTAACATGGGATCTGCCATTTTTTTAAATTTCACGAAATTCATCAATTTTGACATCAAAGGACGAGTGTCTCTAATACCCTATATTAGCCCCCAAGATATTTAGAAGAAATTGTACAGGATATCAAAGAAGGGACTTTGTTTGATAACCAGATCCCAAAATTAGGTCATTCTGACCTTTATATTTCAAAATATAGGTCATTCTATAAACATGTATAAAATGACCTTTTGAAGGAAAAAATCTTTCTTTATTCTCACTGTTTCTATTTGTTATCAAAATAATCATTATTAACAGGCATTCAAGACTTTTTAATTGATCCTCTTGGTATTATCTTACATAATAGTGACAAAGCATAATGGGCAACATTCAAAAATACATAAAATATAACAAGTCAAAAATGCAAAATAATATTGAATAGTACCTTCTGTATACTTCATTGAGATCAACTATCTACAAAAATATGTCAGAAAAGAATATTTAGATTTTTAATTTACATCACAATGAGAAAGAACAAGGGGCAACGTTAAATAAGCAATTAACAAGTCAAAAATGTATATCAATCAATCAAATATTGGTCTCCTTGAGATCAATTGCTCATATACATTTTATTTTAAAGTGGCAGTAAAATACTGAATTCATTATTTTGCATCACAGTGAGGAAGCACAAAGGGCAACATTTGAAAACACATAGAATATAACAATTTCTTAAGGTTACGCTGGACTTTACATAACTGTTGTACTTCTGTAGATGAGCACATTCATGTGTTTGTTCATTATAATAAGAGACTCTATGAGCTATCATCATCTTCTTCAGATGACAACATTTCAGACATATCTTTTGATATTTAAATGTCAAACTTTGTTCATTTCTTTTTTTCCTTTTATACCCCTTGTGCCTACAGCCCTACTCCCAACTGGGCATGAACAGCACCATCCAGTGATTGCATCAATGCCATTACATACATCTGGATCTGGGTTGTACTCCATCCATGTATAGTGAGATTTAGAGGACACAAACCTGTTACTGGGCTTTTACAAATTAGGCCATATATTTCCCATCTTCTTGAAGATGGTTATCTGAGTATTGTTTAGATTGGTTGGCTTGGTAAACACCAAAAGTGAGTTGACATACATCATCTTCAGTCAAAATGGGGAAGTCCTCAAAAGAGTTCACTATGATTTAGATGTAACCCTCTGTCTCCATATAGGGGGTACTGAGTGATTGCAGTTCATTCATACAATTTCCTTTGCTCTGGGCATTTTATTAGCAAATGTCAATCTCCCGCCTACTGCTTGTGACTTACAGTATATTTCTTCTGCACGATAAAGTTGAGCTGGATTTCTAAATATGAACATTTGTTTGATCAGCCAGTGAACTATGATAATATAAAAAAAATTATTCATTGACAAAAATGACGCCTGTCACATAAAGCTAAAGATTAAATGATTGTACAACAATCATCTCAATTTTGCATGTACATTTATATGAATGTATAGAAAGGAATTACAAGTTATTATGTTGTTTAGAGCAATGGTAAAATATATGCTTCTCTAGAGGTCATGCTTCAGTGCAAGCATAAATATTAGTTCATGAAATGATAATATTAGATAAGAAAATATACTTGAGTATATAAACACAATTGTCACAATCATTCTAAGGATTTTCAAAATGGCTGACATCATTTTATTCATGCTGAAAATTGCATAAAAGTTCCATTTTTGCATGACGCCTGGTCCTTACCTAGATTTTTATATACCTCAAGAAGTACCTTAGAAGTACACTAATCCCTCAATGCATATAACTTTCTAGGTAAAAACCAGGCGTTATATGAACAAAGCAAGAGTTTATCATGACCTTCCTCTCTCTAAAAATAAGTAGGTCAACACAATTGCAAACATAACTAATCCCCCCTCAATGAATATTGTAAAATGACTATTTATGTGTACAAAATATTAATACAATGAGTGTATAGAGTGACACAATCAAACAATGGGACATCTGCCAAGTTGGGTTTATATATTCTGGAAACATTTTCTGAGACTGATAAAAAATTCACATTTTCACAGGAAGTGATACATACCTCTCAAATCAACCAAAATATACTTATATCAGTAATCTTGAATGTTTTTTATTGCTATTTCTTGAAAATATACATATTTATCTACAATTTGGTCCTACATATCAAGGATATTAACGACATTGCATTTTTCAAAAAATGTTAAGTGACCCCAGGGGTGTCTATAGCCATTCGTTCTTTTGACCCAATGTAATGGTGATATAACATTGAAATGTTGCGGACTTTATAAGGAACAGAATCAAGATACAGATTCATTTTCTTTATTGGGATTTCTTTTGTTCCACGCTTAGAAAATAGTCGTTCAAACAAATATGGGGGTTAACATGTAAACCTATGAGGAAAATCACTGGTCCTTAACTTTTTTTGATGAGTATATATAAAGATTTTTAATTGAAAGATCTCCATATACTTACCCTAAGTCTAAAGATAGTAGTTGAAAGATGTGTTCTTCTTTCTTGAAAGCCAATGGTTTAATTAGGCCAAAGAATTTCATAATATCAACTCTCTATAATGGAAAATATTAGTCATGTCACAAAATCTGGCAGAAATATAATAGTGTCAATAAAATGAGTTTTCCCAGTGCAATCTCAATCAGCTGAAAATGATTTTGAAAAGCCTTGGCTTAGACCTGATTGACCTTCCCTGGTGCAGTCTTGTTGCAAATTCCACTCCAAGCAGTGTGAACATGTATTACTTTACAAATGTAGACTTTGATATGACATTGAATTTTCCAGATACAAATACTTTCCAAACAGACGAGGTGGAGTTGCAGGCTTCGGCATGGCACCTCAAAGCAGACGTCAAGAGCGAGATGATAATGGGGGCAGGCATGCTTGGGGTACTGGAAACCAACTTGGTGGAGATTAGGTTGATGATGTGAAGGGAATCGGTGGTGTTATTTTGAAAGACTGTCATTTGAAATAAACTGAGCAAAATTTTATAGTCATTAAAAACATTTGTCTCAAGCAAAAATATCTGGATTCATCAATAATGCAATTGAGAAACAGATTTGAACTTGAAATAAACCGTTTGCATCAGTTTGACTTCACATCCTCAAAGAGGACTCTCCTTCAGTTGTAGGGACTTAATATGAAGGGTTATATGTTGTTAGAAAGGTGCCATGCATTTAGGAAAGCATTGATTAACTGGTAAAATACAATGAAAAGGTGTTTTAAAAGAAATGATTATTCATGAATACAACCCATTGATAAGTTAACATTCAGTGTATTCTTCTTGGTTCTGGTAATACTGTACTTTGTACTTAAAGTGTTCCGATAAGCTTCCCGTATAAAAAAAAACAATATGTTATCCCTTTTATAAATGTGTGACGATCAATAATATACTTATGCTACAGTAAGAGGTGTTGACACAACGACCTCGAGCCTGTGAACCCTTGAGTATAATTCCGGGATCGGGCCTTTTAGACTAAATGGTGAGCAACATCAGAAACGAGCGTTCGATTTGCTAAACGATATGCGTCACCCTTTAAAACTAAGTCAAAGTATTGATGTCATTACAGTATGTATACTTTATGAGCTTAAACTTGTATTTAGAAGTTAATTTCAACATTGGATTAAAAAGAATATAGTTCCCATTCTTCTGTATAGGCTATCCATTAAGTACTGTAGTTTTGGGATACACTGTATATACAGTGGCATTTTGCGCTTTTTAATGTGGAATAGGGAGAAACACCAACAGTAATGTAAATAGAAACATTTGATATTGTAGAAGGATATGGTCATGGCTGCCGATCCATCTGCTTTGATAAAAGTTAATTCAGTGACTCAATACCAAGAACCCCTCCTTTCATTTTAGAGGAAGGATGCTACAATGCTGTTGATTTTACTTGAGGTATAATTGTTTTAAGAGAGCCTACCTTTAAAAATTATTTGAATGTTAAAGTGGTATTATTATAAGCTAGATACATGAAATATGACAAAATAAAGCTATTTCAGACTTCATTTGATTTGTCAACAACCAGCCATTGCTATTGTCCTTGTTGCCTAGTTACGCTGTGGTGTAGGCACTATTACGTATTAGTTTTTTTCATATTGAATTTCTATCAACATCAACTCACAATTTTATATTTTTGGACCAACAGTGTGATTTGGAAACCTTCATGTGAACCCCTTTCCTGATTCTTATAGACAGGCTCTCTTAATTCAATATAAATGTGCAGTGATAGATTAACTTTATATTTAGAAACAACAGAAATCCCCTAGTCACCAAAATACAATGTCAAAATGCATGTAATATGTTGTAGGTACATTTGGTACGTCATTTGCGCTTTATGTGGTGAATTAATGAATATTTGACTTTATTTGTGGTTAATCATTGACTTAATATTTGGCTTTGGGTGCATAACTAACTTTTATGTGTTTGTATTCCAAAAAAAACTCTGTAGAATTTATTTAATTTAAGTTTTAGAACACATCCCAGATTATCCTGTATATAGTTCAATAGATGGATGATACGAGTCATTTATTTTTCAAATGCCTGTACATGTAAATTGTATATGTAGGAACTTAACTCTGTGAGGTTATGGATGACTGATATTACATGTCATTTCCATATTTTCATCAGCAAAATTACAACTTACAACAGTAACATCATTTGAATATGTAGCCTATTGCACAGGCCAGTAAGGTGGTTAGAATAAATTATATACTTTGAGCTGAACCTTGTAATGTCTTCGGACTGTGCATTACACTACATGTATTACTTGTGAACCAACATATCAAAACACATTGTTCACCATTTCATGTTTGCAGTTTATGCATTCATCTTCACATTGAATAATCAAATTAATTCCATTTAAATTATTCCTTGTAAATATTTTCTGTAATATAAGTGTACAAACAACAGGTGGAATAAAGTTATAATATAAAATATGTATTTATTATCTTGAGTTATCATTTGTTATCATTACAGTATGTAAATAGGACAGGAGAAGCTGTGTGAACATACATAGGAAGATGGTGGAATGACCTCTTCTTGTACATATACTCCATAGTGTAACAATGATGTACAAGGCATTAACATGCAAAATGTCACCACCTGCCATTTTACAGACATCAAACACTGATCATTGAACACCAAACCCAATCCACAAAAAAGTTGGAGACTATAACATAACAATGTCACCACTTGTGGCGACATAACAGAAAGATACACTAATACCACCTGGGATAATCTATGTCTAGAGGATCAGCATTCATGAGGTTGATGAAGCAAGCACACATGAGGCTCACATTACATTACTGTTCTATGACTGTATTACGAGTTATACATGTAGGTGTATAAATCCTTACAGTACATTCCAATGTCCACCATTCTTTCGTACATTGTGCATGATTGAAGTGTATCAAGAAGTATTATTCACATCATAAATGTCCCAGAACTTGTTTGTCATGACCGCCAAGTAACTTCTACTTCATCTGTGCGGAATCTGTAAGTGAAAAAATACAAAATGTCATCATTAATTTAGTAGCTCTGGAATAATTTCATTTTGACAAGATCATTCAACAATATCAAAATTCAATTAATAATATAAAGTAGGCTGGATGGTATCCAAAACTTTGATATTTACATTGTTTGCAAACCTGTAGGCTAGTGTGTACAAACATGTGTCGAATCAGAGAAATTCCGATTTTGCTCACAGTGATAGACATAAGTAATGTTTACCTTTGTGTACAAAATGTGTCCTCCCATTTGGTAGTCTGTCCTGATTTGAACATCTCCCAACCAGCCTGTGCAATCATGGCACCATTGTCAATACAGAACCTCATATCAGTGGCATGTAGTGTAGCATTACGCTCTTTGGCCATTGTCCCCATCATCTCTTGTAGTCGCTTGTTACCTAAATGTCAATACAGAACCTCATATCAGTGGCATGTAGTGTAGCATTACGCTCCTTGGCCATTGTCCCCATCATCTCTTGTAGTCGCTTGTTACCTAAATGTCAATACAGAACCTCATATCAGTGGCATGTAGTGTAGCATTACGCTCTTTGGCCATGGTTCCCATCATCTCTTGTAGTCGCTTGTTACCTAAATGTCAATACAGAACCTCATATCAGTGGCATGTAGTGTAGCATTACGCTCCTTGGCCATGGTTCCCATCATCTCTTGTAGTCGCTTGTTACCTAAATGTCAATACAGAACCTCATATCAGTGGCATGTAGTGTAGCATTACGCTCCTTGGCCATGGTTCCCATCATCTCTTGTAGTCGCTTGTTACCTAAGTGTCAATACAGAACCTCATATCAGTGGCATGTAGTGTAGCATTGCGCTCCTTGGCCATTGTCCCCATCATCTCTTGTAGTCGCTTGTTACCTAAATGTCAATACAGAACCTCATATCAGTGGCATGTAGTGTAGCATTACGCTCCTTGGCCATGGTTCCCATCATCTCTTGTAGTCGCTTGTTACCTGAATGTCAAGGTTATTATTTCATAAAGTATTAGGTAAGGTTTCAGGGAGATGTTTTTTATTTGGTGAATGAAATCCTTATTTCCCAAAATAAGGGACTTTTCTCAATTTTTAATGTTGATTCAGACCCAAAGTTATTGTGATCAGAAAAATCTGATTTAATTAACCATCATGTCCATATCCTAAAAAGTACTTCATCATTTTATGAATCCAAGCAAATAGACTTTGTTTGTACTTCAGTTGAAATAAATATTTTCTTATTTGTTAAACAGGGGTTGTTGGCTCTGCCTATTGATCATGCAATGAATTGAATAGAAGTATTGGAAAAAATCCATTTTACACCTCTAATTTAACAATATGAATTTAGTACCAAGATCAATTTTTTCAATTCAATTTTATTTATTTCATAATTCTTATATAATATACACTATAAAAACAAGCCGCTAGATACCCAAGTGGGTAGTTGCGGTTTAACAGAAATTATTAAAATGACATCTAGACTACATATAAAAGAAAACACTTATTGGGGGTTACTTGCTTGACAATGTTCTATATTCAAGTGTAAAGAGTGTTTCATATGTATACACCCCTTCTAAACTCATACATGCAACATTGCCACCCTATCATGTTATACATCATTTTGTTCCTTATGTTACATAGTTCCATAGGATTTGAAAGTTTCAGAATCAAGGGGTGTCCTTGAAAAAAGATACAATCAGCCAAAATATGTGGGTAGAGGGTCATTTATAAGCAGTTTTGTAAGGATCAGTCCGGTGATCTGTTCACTTTGTCTGTTACCCATTTTTAGTGATAAAGGTGGTACCATGGGCCCTGACCTCCCTTTAGGCACATAAGCATGAATCCTGTCTATATATATTTGTGCATAACTGCCACAGACATGTGGACTGAGCTCTGCCATGGTGAGAATAGCTGTAAATGTGCAATACAGAAACTAATTTGTCCATTAAATTGTCTTCAAAATCAGCAGAAATTGCTGTCTAAATGACCCATACCCCCAATCTTTTATATATCTTTTGTCAGTGACACCCCAGTATTCTGAAACTTTGGAATCTTGTGGAACTTTCCATCAGAAACATTATGATATATAACATGATATGGTGGTAATGGTAAATGTATGAGTTTAGAGGGGGGTGCATACATATAAAATACCCTATATATACTTACATCCTACCCCACCTACAAGCAGGACTTCTTCTGATCCACAGTGAGCCATGGCACGTTCTGCAACAAAACAATAGCACATCATGTAACAAAAAAACAATAGCAAATTCTGTCTTAAAATAATATAAGACTGTAACATAACAACACATTGTCCTACGCTGTAACATGATTAAATTCCTACAACAAAGCAAGGTCACTTTGCTCTACTAGTGTGGGTCATAATCACTCGACACTAGCCCAAGGCAGATGTAAACAATAACATTTAGAGTCAATTGTAAAATTGAAGTGCCTTGCCACATTGTCTAACATGAAAAACATTCGCCATTGTTGAGAATTACATAACAAAGTCAATTTTAGTACTTTCATCAACATATAACTTTCTTTTTTAAAGATTTTTATTTACAAGAAATCTGTGAGTAAACATATAATTTATCATCAGTGGCAACACTGTGGTAAGTGAAGTTTTTCATTGGCCAGTGTGAAAACACAAGTCGATTGCCACTTGGCAAGTGACAGAAAAATCCTAAGACCCACACTGTTCTATATATATTGAAACATACATTTTATCTTTAGATCAGATTAACCTTTCAAAGTATGTTTATGATACCACTTCTTGGTTGTGGCATAACAAGAGGCATGCCTGTAGCAACCGGGGGTTCGTTCATGCATACCCCTGGTCAAAATTTCCCAAAATTCTCTAGTAGTCATTTCAGAAGTGTACAGCGAGCTTACGGTAAAGATCGCTAAAATGAACCAAGATAAACAATATTGTAAAATCCCCAAAGGAGCCCCAATCAGAGCTTAATAAAGTCTTTATCACTACATTTGATCTGCAAACAAGGCAATTTCTGAGTATAACGTTCATCCATGACAAGAGCAAAAAGTAATGCTAAAGTCACTCAATTGTGATTGAATATGAAATAAAGCAAAAATAAAAATGTATTCAACTCATTGAATGTTTTCAATTCAATGAAAGAACGAATAAATAGGTATTTTTGTGCGTCATGATAAAATAAATATTAAATTCTTCAATAATATTTGCTATTGCATATTCTACCATTCAGTTAATAACTCTAAGTGCATAAGGCCATTATGAACACTCCTCTATAGTCAATACTTGTAGTCAATAAAAGTAAAAATCTTTTGTTCAAAGTTTTGATCTCAGTATTAAAGTGTGGGAATTGCATGTTTCATAATTTGACATATCTTTGAATGTACGCTATTTTGTCTATCTCAATGAATTAGGAACGAGGATTTGCCCCTTAAAGCTCGTTTTAAAAATATGTTCCTAAAGATATGTTAGCATTTGCCCTTAAAGTTAGCTCAATATACAGGTGTTAAAAATGGAAACCCTGCATTTTCCTCATATCTTTGTCGTACAAATGTGTAAAATACCAGGGAGTTACTCTCCAGAATGACAAAGATATGAGGAAAATGGTGTAAGGGTTTCCATTTTTTACCACCCTGTATGATTAATGTTACATTAAAATGTATGGTACACCGGATTTTGACCTCAAAGTAGCTCTAACTCTGGGATGGAATTTGTGAAAAAAGTATGCAAAGTCCAGTAGCTATTTTTTAAATAACTATACGTTATTCTGTCAATCTGAGAAAATATTTCATTGTCATTAAATCATAACTTCTTAGTCCACAAACGATTTGATTATAATCACTGGTATCATGGAGACAAAAATATGACAAAATAAGATTCCCAGTGATAAATACATTTCAAGTCCAGAAAATCATGATTCCGTGGCCTCTCAAGAATGTTGAGATTTTCAAGATGACACCATGTTCAAAACTAGTAAAACGACCCGTAGGTCATATTATATTTTTGGTCCCTAAGTAGGTCGCAGGTGTAGAAATCTCTTGAAATCGTGTAAAACAATTTTTTGAGAAATACAAAATCTCTGTAAGTTTGAGAAAGAACAATGGACTTAGCTTTACACAGTTTGGAGGAATAGACCCCTTTATATTATATATTTTATATACTCAATGCTTTAATTGTTTGTAGAATATGTCCCTAGTAGGGGCTTCGTAAAAAAGAAAAGGGATCTCACCATGTCATATCATTGGGTATTATGTTTTTATCAACCCAGCGGAAGGAGTATTGACCTCTGCATATAAAGGCAATACCTACATCATTACTAGGGGTAGGGGGAATTTAGCAAAAAGTAGAACCCCACTTGAGAAATCCTGGCTATGGGCCTGCCTGGTAAACCAAAATGATTATATTGCATAAGGATGGATTTTAGAGTACCTGTTATTTCAATGAGCATTGCATAGACAGTCTCCTGTAGGGAGTAACATAGATCTGCTGGTGTATATTCCCCACTTGAGATCAAACCATCAGCTCTCTCCTGAAAACAAACTAGATAATGGCAACTCCGCGGAGTAGCAAATCCCAACGAACAAAATATCAATTACCGAATTCCAATCAATTATACTCATTACTTTGGTTAAAATTGAAAAATTTAGATTTTAGAATTGCGAATTCCTGCAAAGCAGCCATTTTGAATTTTCTGAGGTACAAATCTGAAAAATAATAGCATAATTGTGATCTCCTCCAAAATTCCTTCAATTTGAGTATAATATAGCCATACTTTGAAGGGATCGAAAAATGATTGCGAAATCGTACATTAGACGGCCATTTTGAATTTTACGAGGCTCGAATCAGAAAAAAGATACAATATTTGCAATCTACTCTTAATTGCCTTTCATTTGAGTATAATAAAGCTTTACTTCAGAAAGATCTAAAAATTAGCGAAAATTTCTGTTTTCCTGACCCCCATATACGGCCCATGGGGGTCAGGATGAGAAACACGGAATATATGTGAAATAGATAGATGTTGCGAATATACTACCAAAATTTCAAACAATAATATTAATTACTTTGGTTTAGAATGAAAAATTTATGATATTTGCGAAAAAGTCCCGTCATTTTTAAAGCGGCGGCCATCTTGAAAAAATTTTTTTTTGCGTAAAACTATTCATCAATATACATCTTTCCACTAAATATGAAGAAAATCCGTCCACTAGTATTTGAGTTATCTTCCGGACGGACGGACGGACGGACGGACGGACTGACGGACTGACAGACTGACGGACTGACGGACTGACGGACGGACGGAGGGCTTCACTATATCCCTACCGAACTTCGTTCGTTGGGATAAATATGTAAATGCTGTATTGATAAGTAAATGTGACTCTATTAAATGACCGTTCCACTGACGCTCACACATGTTCAGAACTTGACTTAGTCGGGGTTCCCCCGGGGTGTCCGTATGATCACAGAAAAAATCACCATATTCATGAATAGATGAACATACTTCACATAAAATATTCTTTATTCTTATAAAATCTATGATATAAAGAGTTTCATCCACCAAAAGTTTGGTAATCACATTACCATTTCCTTAGACAAACCAAATAAAAGATTAAATGCCTTTTTAAAAAACTCTTGAAATTATTCAATTTTGTTTGAGCTTCTATATGATTGTAGTCAGTATTATATTTCATTGTGCAATGTTAATTTGATAGCTGGTTGTGTCCAATTGCTTTAGATTGCTGATGTTACACCCAGGTTGTGGTGTTTGCAAGTTAGGTAACCTTGAACTGCAGTTAAAATGGTTTCTTTTTTATCAGACCTTTTCTGTAAGAAATATGAGCAATGAGCATCACAATCACAACAATCAAATACCAGGAACAAAACACAATCAAGTACAACCCCAAACATCTACAACTTACATCAGCTACATAACATACAATTCTGCACAACCCAAATCAAATCAAACAAGGTATTAACATGGCAAATATCACCACCTACCATTTATTGCAGACATCAACTGCCAAATGCAAACCTTTAAATGCCAAACACCAACCACTATATCCCAAACACCAACCACTGAACACCCTTCACAAAAAAGTTTAGACTATAGAAATTTGTCACCACTTGTGATAGTGGTGGTGGTGACTTAAAAATAACAAAAAGATTGGCTTCTTTGTGAAAATTGGGTCAACAATTTGAAAATCAGATGTTGCTGGGTGGACTAGCAACTACATATACTGTTAAAGAGTAATGCATATTGTTTAGCAAAATGAACGCTCATTTTTGATGTTGCTCACCTTAAACTACAAAAGACGAGATCCCAGGACAATAAACAAGGTACACAGGTTGAAGTCAATGTGTAAAGACCTGTGCCTGTTTATGTACCAATAGTGTAGTATTGATCCTAAGGCATTTATAACTATTCATTTTGACAAATCAATTTCACGTTTTATTGGTGATAAGTTTCAGGATCTTCTGTTTGTGTTTAATTAACAATATGTCTTTTGTTGTCTTATCTCTTGTTACCTCATGCACCATTTTTCAAAGCTGTTAGTATCCATTGCCATGGTAACTGAGTTATACAAAAACCTAGTCAGACTGACAGGCAGATGGAAACGTCATTTCAAATCCGTGGTGATCACAATGTGTCACCTATTGGGTGGTGACATAATCAACAATAGACTATAAAGGAAAGCCTTACGTGTATAGAAAGCATTACTGTACAGACTCATAGCTGGGTGGTGGGGGTATCGGTATCGGCAAACCTCAAACAAACATCAGTATCCACAACAGTATAATATATGTGTGCACTGCCAACTGGATGTTTTCTGATATCACAACAGCAATATATCACCACTGTATGATTGTTGATAGGCAAATTATTCATATTGAATTTTTTTGAAAAAAAATTCTCTGAATTTTTTAGAATTTTTAATTTCCAAACACAGTTTCTTCACAAATATTGACTATATATATTATATAAAATATAAACTACATGACAGATCCAACAATAAAACCAGAACAACGGCAACGCCAAAGCGTAGCGAATCCTATCGAACAGAAATGGCTGGCATTTTTACAAACAAAGCGCAAATATCATAAAACAATACACCAGAAAGGCCATCATTTTCAAAATGGTTGCTCACTAGCCAAGTTGCCATCAGAAGAAATAATATGCTTTTAAGTAGCCACCTCTAAAATTTTTGAAAAATCGCACACGTGCTTGTAAAATAACACACATAAAAATGGTGGCCATTTTTCAAAATGGCCGACTACTCCCCAAAGTTTTATTAGACAATGTGCCATGCTTAAAGTATTCACATATCAAATATGAACAAAATCGCTCCACTACTTTTCGAGTTATAGTAAAATACGTTAAAATGGCGGCCATTTTTCAAAATGGCCACCTTCTACCAAAAGCGTCATTAGAAATAGACAGTGTGCCATGCTTATAGTATTCACATACCAAGTATGAACAAAATCGCTACACTTCTTTTCGAGTTATAGTGAAATAGGTTAAAATGCCGGCCATTTTTCAAAATTCTTTTCAAAATGGCCGCCTTCTACCAAAAATGTCATAGGACAGTGTGCCATGCTTATAGTATTCACATACCAAATATGAACAAAATCGCTCCACTAGTTTTCGAGTTATAGTAAAATACGTTAAAATGGCGGCCATTTTTCAAAATGGCCGCCTTCTACCAAAAGTGTCTTTAGACAGTGTGCAATGCTCATAGTATTCACATACCAAATATGAACAAAATCGCTCCACTATTTTTTGAGTTACAGCAAAAATCGTAAAATGACAAGAAAAGGCCGCCATTTTTCAAGATGGCTGCCATGTGCTTCTTTAATATCTACATTTGTAGCATTATTAATGTCCTTTATAATTTTTTTACATTAAAACATATTGCTATTACAGTTTTACATATTGCACCTAAATTACTGTAAAATCGCCACTAAAATGGCCGCCATTTTGAAATGAGCGGCCATTTTGAAAATCGGCTTTCGAGCAGAACTTCTACCCCCATAGGGTATATGTGTACAGAATATGAACAAAATCAGGCCAACGGTATTTGAGTTATTGCCCGAATGTACGGATGGACGGACGGACGGACGGACAGGCGGATGGAGGCGTTCCCTATATCCCTCCGAACTTCGTTCGATGGGATAATAACAATAAATCGCATGCAGTTTAAGATCGCAAACAGAAGAGACAAGGCATTAACATGACAAAATGTCACCACCTTGTTGCTCAAAATATGAGTTCAATCTTAGTCAGATTTGAATTCCTTAGAACTTGTAGATGATTTTGAAAAAATGAATTGGTCAATTTGAAGCAATTAGTTGTAAGAAGACCCTTTTGACCCTGAGAAGGTCATTGAAGGTGGATTTGATTCAGATTTGAACTTCTGAGAAATTGTAGTTGATTTTGAAAAAACATTGGTCAATTTGAAGCAAGATGAAAAAAGACCTTTTGACCTTGAGAATGTCATTGAAGGTCAAATCTTTTTTTGACCTTGAGAATGTCATTGAAGGTCAAATCTATAGTCAGATTTGAACTGTTGAGAACTTGTGAAGATTTTGAAAAAAAGATTGGTCAATTTGAAGCAAGTTGAAAAAAGAGGTCAAATCTTTTTAGACCTTGAGAATGTCATAGTCAAATTTGAACTTCTGATAACTTGTAGATGATTTTGAAAAAAGAAATTGATCAATTTGAAGCAAGTTGAAAAAAGACCTTTTTGACCTTGAGTAGGTCATTGAAGGTCAAATCGAAAAATCGAAGATTGTTGAAGGTCAAATCTCAAATCTAAAGTCAGCTTTGAACTTGTGATAACTTGTACATGCTTTTGAAAAAAAGAATTGGTCAATTTGAAGCAAGTTGAAAAAAGACCCTTTTGACCTTTTTTTAACTTGAGAAGGTCATTGAAGGTCAAATCTAAAGTCAGATTTGAACTTCTGATAACTTGTAGATGATTTGAAAAAAAATTGGTCAATTTGAAGCAAGTTGAAAAAATACCTTTTTGACCTTTTTTGACATTGAAAAGGTCATTAAAGGTCAAATCTTAAATATAAAGTCAGATTTGAACTTCTGGAAACATGTAGATGATTTTGAAACAAGGCACAGACGTGAACAATATCGTACCTAAAACACAGCATTGTGGTCTTGTTGACCAAGAAAGCAAAATGGCCGCAGAAAAGTTAATCAGCTCTAGAACTTATCACTGTGTAACATATGTAAAAATTTGAACGGTTAGGCTGGAAACCTGTAGACAAGTCTTGAAAGTGAAGATTTTAGGACGGAAAATCCAAAATGGCCACCTTAAAATTTACCCAGAATGCCCAAAAACCAATCAGTTCTTGACGTTGATATGTAGAAACATCCCTGAAAATTTCAGATGAATCCCTCAAATGGTTTGGCTGAAAATCTGTAGACAAGTCTTGAAAGTGAAGATTTTAGGACAGAAAATCCAAAATGGCCACCTTAAAATTTAACCAGAATGCCCAAAAACTAATCAGTTCTTGACGTTG